AAGTGCTTGAGCTTGATTGGAATTCTTGAAGGCTTCTACCAAGTGGGTTACGCTTCAAGAGATAGGATTTTCTCCCTAATTAGGTTTATTTCCAACTTAGGGTGAGTATATGGAATGGGTAGGGTGCTAGATGTTTATAACCCTTGCCTATTGTTGAAAAAAATTGAGGAAATGGGTATTGATATTACGTAGAATAAATTCTATCTTNGAGATTGATTGAAATTCTTGAAGGCTTTTACCAAGTGGGTTACGCTTCAAGAGGTAAGATTTTCTCCCTAATTAGGTTTATTTCCGACCTAGGGTGAGTATATGGAATGGGTATGGTGTTAGATGTTTATAACCCTTGCCTATTGTTGTAAAGATTGAGAAAATGAGTATTGATATTAGGTAGAATAAATTATATCTTGAACTGGTGTGTGAAAATTGCTAGTTTGTGATTATTAGAAAAATGGTATTATATGGGCATGCTATGTGTTTATATTGTGCCTTATAAATTAAGTGTGTTATTGACATAGATTATGTTCTAACATGCTTGGGATTTGATGTTGGATATAATGTTAATATATGCGTTATGATATGTTAGTATTATGNTATGTGTTTATATTGTGCCTTATAAATTAAGTGTGTTATTGACATAGATTATGTTCTAACATGCTTGGGATTTGATGTTGGATATAATGTTAATATATGCGTTATGATATGTTAGTATTATGATGAATTGTGGAAATTATATACTTTTGATATAATTGACAATAGAATGGTGGAAATTGCTCATTTGACACTCATTGCATATTGGGAATGATGTTGACATCACATTCATGGGCATTGTGCATGAGTGTGGGTGTGTGTGTGCATAGTTCAATNTTGCATGATTATGTGATGACATGCTTGGATATTGTGTTGAATGAAATGTTGATATATGCTTATGATATATTGACAATTGATGGATTATGAAAATTATATGCTTAGGATGTAATTATCCATGGTATGTGTTGAAATTGTTTATATGACATTCATTACACATTGAACATGATAATAGTCTTGCAATTGTGCATTACATTGCATTTGCACGGGAAGATCACATACGTGAACATCAACATGGGTGTGGGTGTGGGTGTGGGTGTGTGTGCGCATGTGTTGGATCAAACACCATCCTTGGTGGGTGATAAGTAGGCTTGGTACCATTGGACCAAGGTTCAACAGAGTTGCACGATTCCATGAAAAATAAAACTTGTGTCAGGTATAGCAAGAAGGGCTAGACACTCCCTCGGGTGCAAGACCCCGCTACTGGTTTATATACTTCCGTTGGTGTAAGTCCAAAAAAATGTATCGGTGTATAAAACCGGCAGTGAAACACCAAAACTATACTACCCAATAAAGACACATAATTTTTTTTTATAAAGATATAGTCATTGAATGTGTAACATCAATGGAGGATTTATTACACATTGGCATTGCATTGGGTTGTGGGAGCCGATGAGGGCTTTGGTTAAGTTGCATGAGTGAGTCTCATCTCATTTCATGGCATGACATAGTAAAGTCCAACATTGAGTTGTATATTCTTGATTGAAATTATTGTGGATGGTTGATTGTTGCATGTGAACATTTCATATGCATCTAGGTCGGGGAGTAGCCTCTTTAGGAGATATCATACTAAGTATGACTCACCCTTTATGGAAAAATATTTCAGGTGCTGGATTCACATAGGCGGATGACTCCCAATTCGAGCCTCAAGGGTGAAGAAGGCCGACTTGTGGCTTTTATGACTCATTTTGTATAACTTTTGTGAAAATCTCATTTTGGCATGTAAATATAAAAGAATTGTAATCGAACTCATATGAACTATTTTTAATGTAGAAAATTACAAGTGGCCATATGAGTATGGATAAATAGACCCGGTGTGACCAATATTTACTTATGAATAGACCTGGTGTAGTCAATGTTCACTCATAAATGGACCCGATATGGTTAATGTTGTATAATTACACATGTTGTGTTTTGAGTAGAGCTCCTCGTACAAAAAAGACTCTGTACGAATTTTGCTAAATTATGGACCTTAAAAAATGGGGCATAACGGCGTGATATCTAGTTACATGGTATTCACGGATATTCTACGGATTGATAGGCGATCAACAGTTGATAAAAGATCTCTAATTTTTTTTTTGAGACGTCACACTCTGGTAGTGAGATGTGTTTAAATACCAGCCACACAATGACTCTTTAGCGATTACCTCTACACGAGCCACGTCGCTGCTTCCCCAGGCACTAACGGATAGGAGCATTAAATGTGGACCACGTGCAAGCGAACACAAGCTTTCTCTCATTCCCCAACCGTTCTTTTCTAACTTTACCATTGGGGGTCAACACCCGGAGCCACTCCGGTCTCTGACTTACCTTTGCAGGTACCCAGGAGGACAGATCCGGTTCTCAACTATGTCTAGTGCTTGGTGAAATTTTTAACCATCATTAGTTACCATTACAAAAACGTCTACTTTGAACAATTATAAAGAAACGTAGAAATTTAAATAATAGTCATTTTGTTTTAGCATTTTCAATATTTTCACTGTCTCCAAAATTCTATGCATGCTAAAAAATTGTAGGCTAGAGTAATCCAAAGTAGGACTACAAATATTTTTTTGTAATTTTTAAACAAAATTCAATTTGAAAATACGTGATTTGTAGGAGAGTGTCAAGATAAATAGGGGAAGACATACACTGTTAAATGTTCCATATGTGTCTAGCTTGCTATGTACAGAACTGACTTTTGGTTTCGTACTGCTTCTTGCTGCGTACTGATTGTTACGCACAATCAAGTCCTAAAATCAAAGTTTAAGAAAAGTAGGAGAAATATATGAAGATCCATTCTAAGAGTAACTACATTTCGAATATCAGATCTTAAGCTTTACTTTACCCCTTACAACCCCCCGAGTGGTGGACCAGAGCAGAGTTTGGCCTTTGGTCAACATGTATTTACAAGATGAAATTTGATGTAAGATGAAAAGAAAAAAAAACACTATTTGAACAAAAAATCCAAAGACCTTAAAAAAAAAAAAACAACAACAAATCCAAAGTTGGTGACTAATTTGTTATATATCTTCATTTGTGTTTCATTGTAATAAAGTCTTTGACATTTCCGCTCCTATTGCACAAAAATGAAAAAATTCATTACAATTGTGATATTACGTCAGTATTGTCACATGGTACCACCAATCAATAATATGCAGACAAAAAAAAAAGTGGACTTCACATAAACAGATAATTACACGTAAACAGATAATTATCCACTCTTTTTCAATTTAAGCTAATAATTACCCGAGTGAGAATCACTTCGCCCATTTAAAATTTTATTATTAGTTAGTGATACCGTGTTATTAATATTGACATAGTATTACTATTGTATTAAATATTTTCTTGCGAAAAAGAGGACACCATGTTCATCGGTGCGAGTTTGAAAATTACAGTAAAAATGGTGGGACCTACAAAGTTAAAGATAGAACTTTTTTGTTTTTGGTCTCGAATAGTAAAGTTAGAATGAGGCTCACGAGTAAATAAAATAAATAGCATCTAAACCATAGTTATTAAAACTAGAATTGACATTGAATCGATTGAGGGACCGGGTCAATGTTTCACTAATTCAATTGTTGAGTCAACTAATCAGACCGATTGTATAATAAAAAAAATAAAAAATTGTAATATATAATAATTTAACTAAAAGAATATAAAATATATTTACGATGTATACAAGTTGTCATAAAATTAACATCGTAGCTTTTATTTTAATTTTCAAATTTTGCTTTTAGTCACGTAATTTTAGCCATACATGGATTTCACTCCCACCCTAGATGAACGGTTAAGATTATTTTCAACTTAACCCATGCAATCCAAATTCCACAGACAAAAGACAGAGCTGTCTCTTCTCTCATACTCCACTCCACTGCATCTCTATCTTTCTCTCCTTCTGAAACTCTACTGCTTCTCTCTTTCTTTGAAACTTTAACAAAGGCATATCTATCTCTTCTCTCCCTCCCTATGTCTCTCTCTCCCTCTGAAACTATTCCCTGTTCATCGCCTGAGTCAGATAGATGGAGTGAGAGAGATCAAGTGGAAAAGGTCGTCTGAGCTGCTGAGAGGAAAAGGTCGCCTGAGCTTCGAGCAGAGTGATCGCTTGAGCTACTGTTTATCACCTAATGTAGTGCCTAAGTGGTCGTTGAATAACCTGAAGGCCTTGAATGCGAATTGATTTTCAGATTTAGGGCAAAATTCCTAATCGTCCGGTTTACAAAACTCATCCAGTTCACGATTCTTGTCCAAAATTGCTGATTTACGATTTGATTCCTCAGGCAGTCTAACTAAAGAATTTGATCGTTTTAAATCTCAAGTCACAGTTTAGCCGGTCTGATCCAGTTATGAAAATACTGCTCTGAACTATGTTATTTATGTGAATTAATTTTTTGAACTAATTTTTTTTGTTAATTTAACTCCTCAGTTGTGCAATCTGACCCAATGCCTCCCTTCTCTCCAAATCTATCATCAATTTTAACAAAATATGTTACGTGCACATCATGTGTTTAGTCTTAAATATCCCTAATTGTTGGCTCACATTATATGCATGTGAGTTGTTTCATTAAAAGTTGATGGCAATTTTGGATAAAATGGGGAAATTGAGACAAATTACAAAGTTGAGGGACTATAAAAAAATTGAGAGATTAAATTAATACAAAATTAACTAAGGGCTTAATTGATACAAATAACCTAATTGAGGGGATAGTTTACTCTTAAAAGTTAAAACCGCAAAACCCTACCCNACAAAAAAATTGAGAGATTAAATTAATACAAAATTAACTAAGGGCTTAATTGATACAAATAACCTAATTTAGGGGATAGTTTACTCTTAAAAGTTAAAACCGCAAAACCCTACCCTTCCATTTCCTTTTATTTTCCCATAGCACGCCGAAACACACACACTCACGCTCACACAGTTTCTTTCTGCACTGTGAGTGATGGCAAGTACTACTGAACCAACGACAGACAAGAGAGAAGAAGAGTCAATGGAGAACCCCACAGCCGAAGACGAAGACACCGGAGCTCAGGTCGCCCCCATCGTCAAGCTCCAAGAAGTCGCTGTCACCACCGGCGAAGAACATGAAGATGCCCTTCTTGATATGTATGTTCTATCTAAAACCCTATAGCCATTCCTTTTTTATTATTTAGTTGTACTCTGGTTAGTTTCTGAAGAAATAGGAAATAAGATATTGTTCTTGTTTTTAGAAAACAATAGAGTGATTCTAATCGGCTGGACCAATCGTTTGACCCCTGTGTGTATAAAATTACTCTGTTTGGTTTTTTAGAAAGAAGGAAAAAAATAGAATAAAGGTTAGTAATTTTAAGCGCGGCGACATTGGCACTCCAAAAGTTACTGGAGACACAAATGAAGAATTTTTACCTTGAGGTGCCAGCAGGATATATTGAAGTGCCAATATTATTTGCCTGGTAGTGTTTGTAATTGATTGATTCCTTTTATGAATTTAGGAAAATTAAAAACCGTATCTGTCTGGTTCTTGCAAACATAAAAAGAAAATGGAAAAATAGGTCATTTGCTATTCAAATGGTTATTGATTGTGGGTTTTGAAAAGCACAAAACCCTAGTGTTATTGACTGTTATGTGTGCTTGTGTGTGTTCAGAGACACAGCTGTTTGGATAATCTGATAATTGGATAGAAGAAATAAAGCTTTATTCCAGTAACGTTATTTGACTTGTTGGTTTCCTATTATGACTTTTTAGGAAAGCAAAGCTATATAGATTTGACAAGGAAGGGAATCAATGGAAAGAGAGAGGTGTTGGCACTGTCAAGCTTCTCAAACACAAGGAAACTGGAAAGGTTAGGCTTGTCATGAGGCAGTCTAAGACTCTTAAAATCTGCGCCAATCATCTTGGTACTGTCAAATCCTCTCTCTCTCTCTCTCTCTCTCTCTCGCTCTCTCTCTCTCTCTCTATATATATATATATATACACACACATTTCCATGTGTATATGTATACACATGGAATTGTATATATATACTTATAGACGTACACACATATTAATACCGATAATGCCTGTTTGATGTTTGAATGTGTTTTAGTTCTAACTGCTATTGCAATGCAAGAGCATGCGGGCAATGATAAGTCATGTGTGTGGCACGCTCCTGATTTTGCTGATGGCGAGGTGAAGGAAGAGCTCTTTTGCATTCGTTTTGCTTCAGTTGAGAGTGAGTGCTCTATTTCTACCTCTTATTAAATAAATTTTTTTGTATTTAATATGGTTAGTTACATTGAGCCTCCTTGAACTTAGGATCAGTTGCACAACATCTCCCTCAACTATTGCGGATTATAGTTCAGAATAGAAGTGCAACATTACAGTTTTGTAAAAAAGTCTAAAATATCCTCTGTTTTGATTCAATTTTGTTTGTGATGCCATCCATTCAAAAAACTTTTCTCAAAGAAAATTAAAAATCTGCAACCAGCCCATCTCCCACTCCCAACAAGTACCACCAGCCTCCTAATGCTCAGATATTGCGGTAAAGAAGGGTATCAAATCCTCAGCAGTCAGCACACACAAACACATCTCTAGGCTCCAAAGACTTAATTCTTGTGTGACTCTGCAACTGGAATCAATCCTATACTCTGGTATTGCACCAAAGAGTACATTTTTTGTGACTCTGCAATTGATCAAAACCAGAGATATATTCTGAACAATGAATCCAAATGGATAGCNAGTCAGCACACACAAACACATCTCTAGGCTCCAAAGACTTAATTCTTGTGTGACTCTGCAACTGGAATCAATCCTATACTCTGGTATTGCACCAAAGAGTACATTTTTTGTGACTCTGCAATTGATCAAAACCAGAGATATATTCTGAACAATGAATCCAAATGGATAGCCAAGTAGACAATACAGCACCTGAGCAAAGCAAAGACGTCTGTGGCAAAAAATAATACCTGAACACTCAATAAGATCACTTAACCATGACACTAATTCTATATCTAACAGATATATTCTACAAGTTTATAGAATCCTATTTGGACTAGAACACATAATTACTTGACTTGGTTTATATTCAGCATACATTCAAGAAGTTAAATTATAGAGTCATCAACTGTTTGGAAATTTCACCGGTCCCAAGGATTGGACACATTGGTTTATGCTGAATTGAATAATGGATCTTATTCCAACACCATGAAATAAAGAGGGTAAGTGGAGGAGTTACAAGGCCATGTGCAAAATTTGGGCTCTTGCATATAAAGGGTCTTACATTTTCGCATATGGCAGACATGCAGGGGGAACATAATTTCTATAAAAATGCTTAATTTTTGTTTGTATAAGAAAGTCCCTGGTTGTAATCTTCATTTTATATAATTTTAGTCTCGAGACAGCCTACATAATCATGTTCAGTACTGATCTCCATTGTATGCATAATATTTACTATAATTAAATGCCTATATACTGACTTTCCTATTAATCAGTCAGAGATTTATTCTAGAGGCTTAAATTTCAGAACTCACAGCATAAAAAATTGATATTCCTGGAAGATGAGTCCATCTTCATAAATCAATGTAGTGGTGGTCTCTGGTTAATTACATGGGAATTCAGCTAATATCCAACTGCCTTATTTGTTTTCTTGTGCTTCCCTTCACGTTTATAAAACAAATATGGATCATATATTATTATCAAAAAACATGGACCATATTGGTTGGAAATGCAATGTTGACTCAGCGTTCATGCTGGTTATAAAGTAGGGTGATTTTTGTAGCATTTTAAGAAAGATATGGACAATCGATTTCCCTATGTTACTTTGAGTAATATATCTTTTTCCTTTCAGACTGCAAAACTTTCAAAGAAAAGATTGAAGAAATTATTGAATCTCAAGGGAACAAGTCTGTAGGGAGTGAAGAAGCCACCACTGCTGCTGACCTTATGGAAAAGTTGAGTGTTGGAGAGAGCAAAGATGTAGAAGAGAAAACCAAGGAGGCTCCTATTTCGGCAGAGGAGAAAAAAGATGAGAATGCGAAGCAAGAAAATCCAGGGGATGATAAGTAGGATATTATCTTGCACCTCTAGGTCTGAGCCTTTGATGAAAGGGGTTGATGGCATGAGTAGTTCTCAGGTGAATGATATATAGATAGCTGAAGGTGCTGATTATATGATATATGCTATGCTTGTTTTGTTAGTGAGGTTTGATTTGCTTGTAATTTTGGGGATGGTTAAGGTATCAATTTGTTCAACTAGTTTGGGGCCGCAAAATAGTTGATAATCTGGTATTTAAAGTGTCTTGCCCTGTAGGATTTGAGCAATTTTGTTTCATGGGTACATTACCATCTGTGGACGATTATTATGTGATTATACATATATACTAGGCGTAACTTGTGCCAGAAGGCGTAACGTAAATTAGGCGTAACGTAAATTAACCAGTTAATTTGAAAAAAATAACTTTAATTTGCTTTAATTAAAAAAATTGAAATTAATATTTGGGGACTATTTCGGCAAAGCTTGTTCTAAAAATAGGAGTTTAGAAAAATTTCATTATGTCTATAAAATTTAGAGTTTCTTGAATGCACAATACAATCAAACTTAAAATTTACAGTTTACAATCATACAAAACAATAATCCTAGTTCATAAGCAAAATTTTTCCAAAAATCACCATTCTAAATTCAACTATCAAAATAACCATTAATTTCAATCAAAATAAACTAATCACCACCTGTGATCGATTCACTTTACTAAACTCGAGACAAATACAACGGACACGTAAAGAGAAAATTATCGTCAAGACACGCAAAGAAAAAACTAAGACAAACAACCACTGCCTAAAGGCATTTGGCAACTAACACAAATCTGTTTAATTTGATATAGGTTATTTTTTATTTCATTTAGAGTAATGCTAGATGAACTTAAAAATTAGACTTGATAATCTCAACTATTAAATAAGTTGTGAACCTCAATAAATACAGGGACCCACAGTGAAATCAATAGTTAAGATTATCAAATCTGTTTTTAAGTCTATTTTTTAAGTCCATGTAACATTACTCTTTCATTTAATTAAAGAAAGTTAAATCAATCTAGTAAAATTTATTTTTTGGTCACACAAATCAATCAATTTAGTAATAACCCGATATTTTTTAAAAATTTTCGACATGGTTTCCTTTGAAAATAGGAGACCATAGAAATATCAATTTATATACAGAACTGAAAAATAAATGAAACAAACCCCCAAAATTAGCGATCCATACCCAACTATTAAAACAAATAAGCAATTTCACATCAAACTAAATATATCCCCATAAACATGAAATTAGTTCACCATACTAAACGCAAAATAAACAAAAATCCACACAAAATCTGATTAAGTTAATATAGGTTATTCTTTATATCATTTAATTAAAGAAAGTTAAATTAATCTAATAATAATCCACTTTTTTTTTGGCAAAATTTCAGCAAAATTTCTTTTGAAAATAAGAGACCATGGAAATATAAACCTATATACATAACTGAAAAACAAATATAACAATCTCTGCAATCAACGATCCATACCCAACAACCAAAACAACCATCAATTTCACATTAGACCAAACATCTGTAATATAAACGTGTAATTAGTTCACCAAACTAAACACAAAATAAACAAAAACCCATTCAAATCTGGTTAGTTTGATGTAGGTTATTTTTTATTTCATTTAATTAAAAAAAGTTAAATCAATCGAGTAATAACCCGCTATTTTTTCAAACATAACTGAAAAACAAATACGAAAAAAATAAGAATAAAGCAGCCATAAAACAAAAGCTTTTATATAGGGATGAACCAATCAAATTAATATGACCCAAACCTAAACCCAAACACAAAACCAAACCCAACACCAAAGCATGGACCAACAAAAACAATTTGATTAAAACCACCCTCGTGAAAGACAAAAAATAAATGACCATAACAGTCTGTGAAATATCAAAAACAATCAGTTGACCTCGCCAAATGCCAGTTATTGCTTATCTACATAAAGCCAAGTGCAACAAAAGCACATATAAGCAAACTACATTTTATCAAAATCAAAACCCACCAACAGAAAAGAGATAAAAAATCTGAGTAGAAAAACACAAAGCTAATGGATCAAAAATATAAAAATAAAAATAAAAATCAATAAGATATCAACAAAGAATGATCAAAATACAGTACAACTCCTAAAAGGAAAAAAATAAAAAAAATAAAAGAAAGAGTAAAGTCCTAGGCACAATATACTTGATCCGGCAAATGAAACTTTGAAAAGTTTACTTTCTCTGTCTATATATATCACATGAGATACAAATGAGTAATAGCAAAAATATGTGCAATCCTTCCCCGGATCTAGCAGTATTTCCAACCACATGTCAAAATCTCAATTTTTAGGTAAAGAAAGTAATGTTTGCCAAATATTCCAAGAAACCAAAGTTTTTTTAATGTACACATTAGGTATATATACTTCCAAGTATAAACACAATCGTATGATATAATTAATGCATGAAACATTCTCTTTGGGAGAGTGAGAGAGGCCAACCCAATTCAAAAAATATTACAATCATTATACCCAACCCAGTCTACTTAAAATCCAAATACAAAAATTGCCTAAAAAATAACAATTCACACTGATTTAAATACACGCACACACGCACTTTGAAGCCCAATACAAAAAAATTGAGCACTGATCATTTAATTTCTTTTATTATACAATTTCATATCAATTTGAGCACACTACATCCCAAAAAAATTCAAGAGTTTCCTCTAGAAAAAGTCACTCATTTCAACGAACACCCATAANTATCAATTTGAGCACACTACATCCCAAAAAAATTCAAGAGTTTCCTCTAGAAAAAGTCACTCATTTCAACGAACACCCATAACTCCTTGGCAATTCAATTGAACAAATATACACACACAACAACCCTATCAAAAAAATAAAAAATCGATCCAAACATGTAGGTNAACTCCTTGGCAATTCAATTGAACAAATATACACACACAACAACCCTATCAAAAAAAATAAAAAATCGATCCAANGCAATTCAATTGAACAAATATACACACACAACAACCCTATCAAAAAAATAAAAAATCGATCCAAACATGTAGGTCAAATCAATTCCTATGATAAACAAAAATATTGGATTCAGTTGAGTATGAAAGTAATATCACCTCAAATAAACTAAAAAAAATGAAACTGAAGAAGGAGCCAACTATAATTACTTTAAGAGTTCTGCCCATTCATTTTGTTCCATGAGAATCGTGGGAAAGGCAAAAACAATCTGAGATTAAAAAGATTATACAAAATAAGTTGATCGCAACAATCTACTCATGCAACAAAAAATAAAAATGTAAAAGAAAGTAATCGACCAATGAAGATATGAGAAATGACTGATTGTTCTGACACAAAGCATTACCTTCCCTGACACCAGAAGATGCCACATTTCATCGATATGGTGTCTGAAAATACATTACCTTCCAAGAATAAAATCTCTACAAAGTCAAAAAAAAAAAAAAACTGTCCATAATTTGAAAAACTTAACTCACAGCAAAAGCTTGGGAATGAGTATCCACTATGGTCTTAAAATTATGAGCATAAGAGCTATGGAGAAATGGAAAAACAAAACTCACCTCAACATGCAACAATTCAAGGAACTTACTCTCTAGGCATGCACCAAAACTATTGTTAGTAAAATTTTTGACGAATACATGTGAGTCTACTCTTATGTGGTAACCTAATGCATTGTGCCAAATAACCATGACGAATACATGCAAGTCTATTCATTTTTTACGAATACATACATTGTGTTTAAGATTTATGTGTCCATTTATTTGACAACAAATATTTATGTCCAAATCCGATACATAACAATAATTCGATGGTAAGAGGAAGGAGTAGGTAATGACCACCTAGCCAAAGGGCAGAAAATGCAGGCCATATTAGTGGAGTCTAGAGAAAAAGGGTCAATAGTAATGTGACAAATAGCCATAAAAATACCCTTCCTCTGCATATAGAATATTAGTACCCATGTGCTCAGGTCTAGTTAATACCCATACCAAAAGGCACTATGTAACCAAATAATTTTGACAACTTAAAAAAATGAGCATCAACAAAAGAAAAATGGCTTACATGATACATTTTATGTAATTGTTAGAAGTGTAGTCCTTAGTTGCTATTAGACTGTATTGAGTGAACTTTAGTGGTTGCAAAGAGTAAGCAAGAGGCAAGTTTGTTTTCTTTAGTAAATTATTAAAAAGCAATGCTATTTAGACCTAATTTATTGACTTAATCCACTATAGTTGTTGGATTGATAGTAGATCCCAGCAAATATTGAAACTTGTTACTAATCAAATGGTCACAATGAATTAAGTTAAGACATTAAGTCAGCAAATTAGGTCCAAACAGCCTCATTAAAAAAAGCAGAGCAGTGGCAGAGAAAAAAATACAGGATAAAAGTTGTATACTGGCTGGCTTTAAAAAGTTAGAAAATTGAATTTAAAAACAAGGTTTTAGAGTTACTGCAGACAAGATAGGAAAACCTCAGAAAAATTACTAACGAAAAATAGAGAAGAAAAATAAGAGTTCCTGCATGGAAAAAGAGGAGATGTTGTGCATGTTGCCAAATGAACTGCAGCTCCATTTGTTGGTTTTAAGGGCTAGTTTTGTGTGTGCACTACTGAAAAAGAAAATTGCAAAGGTGTGCCCATCCAATAAAACCCAATAAAAGGATTGAAAGAACCATGCACAGTAAAAACCAATAAAAGGATTGGAAGAATCATAAAGAAAGCACACTCGATATGGATCATTTAACTTCTATATACACTACCATTTGTGTTGTTAGACCATCTTCGTACCACTCATTCAACCAACCCAACAATCCAGCAACACAAACCTACATAATTGCAGATACTAACATGTAAGAATTTCAATACAATATTAAACATGGAGTGGAAAAAGACACAAAAAAATCAGTAATTTTCTTTCAAGTAGGTAAATAGAATCAATAATCTATAACTTGAAAAATAATACCACTGTCACTATCAACTCAA